TGTGAAAATCCAAAGAAGATTGTCAAATCTCCCACAACAACATCGTAATTCTATTCCATTGATTTTTGATAAAATTCTATTCCATTGATCACAAGAAAGAATACGTGAATACCAACATGCACACACAATATTGTCCAGTTCACAGAAGATGAAACAAGATTATTATTTTGTACATTCTAAAATTGCAAACTTCTGAAGATTGTTATTCCTCAACACAACTACATTATGATCATAAGTAGGGTTTCAGAGTACTGAAAAAAGTTATAAATTTGTATTTCTTACCTTATAATATACCTGAAGGATAAGGTCATAGTGAGTTCCTGCCGGTTGTCCCTTGGCATCTACAAACGGGATAAACTCATAATGAACTTCATAATCCAAACTTTTAATGGCTTCCTTGAACACATAAACACAGAATCCATTTACAGTTGTTTCTTTTGTTTGGGGATCACGAATCACATTAATTAATTCGCTGAATCCATGATTTACTGGAGCACCAATTCTCAGCTCTTGCCAAGTAGATTCCAACCTTTTGGAATGTTCATAATTCCTCCCAGCCAAATAACACTTGCAAGCTTGTTAGATGATGTCAAATTCATCTTAGTATGGTTTTCTTCCTTCATAATTGAAGTAATTTCATTTTCAGGATTCCAGTAACCAATTGTTCTTTATACCTCAAATAAATTTAAAATTTTGAATTCCTTTGGGATCAGCCTGCAACTAGTAAGTTGAAAGCAACCACTTATTCCCTTGAATCTACTCTGTGATATCTCATCAATAAACATCAAACCATTTTGCGAGGTATGGATGATGGTGAAGTTCATATTCAATCTTGTTTCTTGGCGTACGATATTGGGATGTCTAGTAATTACACTTTCTGCTGCTGTTGCACGAGCCTGAGCCATATCATAAGACCATATACTATAGACGTTTCATGCCATTTCCTGCAAATTTTGGTCTTCATTCAAGTTTTTACTCCACCTTACCGCAAATTCGCGAAGCTCCTTCGATGCTGGAATGTGAGGTTTGAATCCTACCACCCCCTGCATTGACTTGCTGACTGATGCATCCATTGAATTCATGAAGTTTGCATCCATTGAATTCATGAAGTTTGTAATCACATCAGTTATAATCCAAGCATACCCTTGACTTATCATTCCAAGCCGTTCGGCGTTCAAGAAAAGTCGAGATGCGAGAACCGCCGACATGTGCACCACATATACACTCGTCTGCAAACTCATGAGTTTCTTGAGCTGCTCAATGATTTCTTCACCAGTAGATGATGCTAAAAGGGTGACATGCAGGGCAAGACGAACACTGGTTGCTTCAAAAGAAGCGATGACATTAGAAAGGATTTGTCTTGCAGAATCATTATCTTCAGAAATGAGGATAACACTTCTCCATGTAAATGGCTCAACAAGGGTGGCAATGATTTGGCTCGAGTGGAATCATCTTCACCAATTTGAAGCAAATGAGGATTCTCGGAGAAGGGCAGAGATGGAGCAGCTACAAAGAGAAATAACAGGGATCTTGACTCTTGATCCTAACTCTGCTAAAATCTTCAGTCCAACTGAATTTTCAGCTACAATAATGGCATCCAATTTCACACTTTCCAAGAGAACCAAGGCTGTACATTAGTAAGTGTATGTTTCAGAACCCTTTCATAACAAAGAAAATAGTGTGCCATTTAAAGAGAAACCTTCCCTTAAGAACGAAACATACCATGGGATAGAAGAAGCAAAGGATCGCCCTCAGAATCTCTGGTATGCAGAACTAATTTCATCCTATAGTGACTATTTTGACCGTAAAAGTCGGTTATAGCCATTGAAATGCAGCTGTATACAATCTTTCCCACCCAGGATTGTGTATCAATAATCAACCCTACATGAACCCATATATCTTCTATAGTACTATCATTGATACCGTTAACATTGGCTGACAACGGTGCTAAGCAGGAGGAAACAGTTAAGCATTTGTTTATCTCGTGTCAGGTTGCATGGGAGTTATGGAGCAGTTTCTGGAGGTTATGGGGAGTCTCGTCAGTTTTACCTAATGATCCAGCTTCTTTGTTGTGCTCCTGGTCGGATTTAAGGCCAAAGTCAGTAATATGGGGCTTTATACCGGGGGTAGTTCTTTGGTCACTATGGAAGGCTAGAAATTCGGTGGTTTTTGATGATGGGAAACTGGACAAACCTAATCTTTTCTTCATTTGCAGATTTAGGTTGGTTAAGTGGTTCCTTGCTAAATACCCGAACGATTTCATTCAGGTTGATTCTCTTGTTGGAGACCCGTCGCTTGCAGACAAGCACCAGACAAGGCACCCTAAAAGGATGAAGGTTCAGGAATGGCTTCCTCCTCCCCTTCATTTTTTAAAGTTAATGTTGATGGGGCAGTTAGTGGGGATGGGCTGTTGGGGGGAATGGGGGGTATTTTAAGGGACTCGGAAAGCAAAATCCTAGGGTCTTTCTCACTTGCTGTTGGTCCAGGTCCTCCTCCACTCGCTGAGACGAAAGCAATAGAGAAAGGCATTGAATTTTTCTATCGTCGGAATGGGCGACTCAAGGAAGGTTAATTATTGAGAGTGATTGTAAGACTGTGGTGGATTGGATCTTACAACCGACTTCTTCTCCTCCTTTCCTTAGGTTACTGGTTCAAAAAATTGCTTTCTTTATCTCGGAGAGGGCGATGATTATTAGATATATTCCGAGGAGTTGTAATTGTGAGGCTGATACCTTAGCTAAACAGGGGATTGGCTGATCACATAATATAGCTTTAGAGGTCATTCAGTGGGGTTTTGGGTTATTGTGGTTGTAGGGGATGTGGTATTTCGCTATTGTATAGGGGCGGACTGGTCGTGTTAAATGTTCTGTAATTTTTATGGTGTTTAGTCAGTCTGTTGGGTGTTTTTTATGTACTATGTTTTCTTGAGCAATAAAATCCTAAGGCACTCTTTTCCTCCCTTATCTGATTAAGGAACTTTCTCAAAAGTTCCATTAGTCAAGAAGGGGTTTTTAATGAAGCATGTAATTCTTATCAAAAAAAAAATATATAACTAAAGCCAAGGTCCACTTCGTCTTCCTCGCAAAATCCATGGATCCGAAAACCAAACAGGGAAGTACCCTAAGCAACGGCTTCAGTCAATAGTTCACCTAATAGATTTTTCACGAAGCAAGTAACATGTAAAATCTCAAAGACATCTTCAAATTTATATCGTAAACTTTGGGTTTTACATCTTTAACAATATCAGTGTGAAAATAGGAAAAACAAATTTCAAAGTACCACATAAGTTCTAATTATTTGACGTTTACTAGTATTTACCCTCCACTTACGCTGGAGATTTATAATTTCTTATAAATTTGAACCACATGTAAAGTAGAACAGAAAATTCCTGAAGGCAATGCTTTCAGTGTCAATTCATAGTTCAACTAATATAGACAGTGATTATACAAACTCAATAAACAAACACAACATATAACATATATACACAGTGGCCCACCAGTTGAAAATTTTGGTTTACGTTTGATGAGATATTTTTGAACATTGAAGTAGCGATTTCAGAGAGTCTATGGTACAGTTGAGGTAGAATTTGAAGTTGCTAGTTGTTATGGCTCGACGTTTCTGATATAGACATATGAGAAGTGCTTAATTGGAAGACATACTGGTTACAAGAAATAAAGCCCCAAAGCTATAAAGGTTTAGCCTGCTGAGATTACTTATTATTGAGTCCTGGTTTGTGAAGATTGATTCAGCATTGTTAAACCTTTCTTTTCCATCATTTGCAGCTTTTCTTCCTCTCCTAGCTTCATGATTGCACTCGACATGTCTTGGACAAGTATTGAACCTTTAGGGAAAACCTATGAAATACATTAAACAAATCAGAACCCATTGCTGCAAATCAAAGTAAGATCAAAACCATGACTGTGAATAGCTTTTGTGAAAGAATCTTACAAAGCCAAAACCGCCTGAGATAGTCTTGGTCCTCTTGGTGTTAATCACGGTGTAATCGGCAGCGTACTTGGCAATGATTACTTTAAGGTATGGTACTACAACAATAATGGCCGACACACCACCATTCTTTCTTCCCCTTAGTGAATCATCATATTCTTCTGGAGATCGGTATTGCCTTCACCTGCGATTTTCAAAATTTAAGTTGTCAATAGCTCCTGGAACCCAAGAACCAGAATGATAACCGACAGATTCCCCTTTCGAGTTCAATTCAATCTGTTGAACTGTTAACATGGAAGTCGAATTGCAGTGTAGCTTGAAGTTGTTATAATTTATAAGCACAGAAAACACCCATATTATCACAACGAACTTTGACAAGTTGCTCAAGAGATTTCCCCCTGCAGTTTTGAATTGAAGTATAAAAAAATAATTATTATTATAGTCGGCTTAGCTTAATGTATGCATTAATCATAAATATCAAGATAAAGCTACATTTAGTTTCATTTTTAAAACTCAACTTGAGATTAACATGAGTTTACCTATGACCTCAATTCAATGTATGGGTACACAAGCATCAAACAGAAATGATAGTTAAGTTGAACATAGAGTATCTACTGTGGGCAAATACTAGGGTTGAGAAAGAGTACCAAAAGATCATTCCAATTTGCTCAAATGGAGAGCCTTGGAACTCATAGTTGATGGGACGTTAAATTAGCCAAACCACAAAGCCCAGTGAAAGAAAAAAGAAAGCAGTAGTTGTGATCCACATACCTCTAGAAAAAGGCCGCAAATCAGTAAGTGGGGGACCCTATCATAACAAAGAAAATAGGGTGCCATTTAAAGAGAATGTTCATTAAGAAAAAACAAAAACCTACCATGGATAGAACAAGCAGCGGATCACCCTCAGAATCTCTGGTATGCAGAACAAGTTTTGTTTGATAGTGTGACTATTTCAACCATAAAAGTATACAAGTTATTACCTACCCGATAGGATCTGGTTAAAGCATAATTTAAGCAAACTCTCTTAAAGCCCAATTACAACAACAAAGTAAAGGTGAAACTAGTGTAAGTTTACTTATCAATTAAATATAACATCTTTCATTCAAATGACAATAATACAAGCAAAAGAAATCTATTTAGAATGTAGAATTCTAGAGTTAATAAAATTTAACCATATAAAAACCATTTAATGAAGAATACGAAATTCAATGGTTGTAGAAGCTAGGGTAAAAAATTTACTATCAGCCCTAATTTGAAATTTTGAAAGGGGTCCTGAGACCAAACATTTGACCGACAACCGAGAACCATGACAGAAGATATAATTCCAGCACCACTTCAAATTTAGGCTTAGCTGTGTCACTGAGAAAAAGCAACTTGATCCACTCAGCAGTCCCACATGGATGTAACTTGAACCATGGTCTTTTCAAGTATGGGTGTTCCTATAATTGAATTCACATGCCAACGTCACGATAGCACCAAAGAATGTATTATTCCATTTGAGCAAATAAATTTGATATTAATTAAAAATATCCATTTTTTTTTCTTTGGTGGGTTATTAAGTTCAAAGAATGTTTTCCTCCCACATGTGGAAGGATCGAAAACCACAAAAAAAAAGTAAATTTTCCTTTATAAAACAAGAATACGACAGGAATTTAGAAAATTTATTAGAAAAAATGTTGAATACAACAGCCAAGGTAATGAGATAATAAAACAAGGTGGGAAAAACATACCTCTTGAGTTATAAATGTCCATTTTGATTTTGACAATTCTTTTGAAGAGCATGCAGGAAGATCCTTTTCTATTTCATCCAACGGCAAAGGTCTTCCATCTGTACATGGTATATAGTAATCATTCACTTATGCTCTCAAATGAATAACAAATTGAACAATTTAAAACCGGGGTTCAATCTAGATATACACTCCAATACTCATGCCTTCACAAGAACTAAGAATATGACAACCTGTCTCCTTGGTCTGCCACCATATACCACACTAAGATATAAAAAATAAAAACACCAACCACAGAAGCATTACAAACTACCTGACATAATCTCTTAATTAAACATCTATTATTTTCTACCAATAGCTTTGATGAAGACGATTGAAAAAGGAACAGGACATAAACATTGGAAATGTGCTTCAAGGCATAAAGTTATCTATGAATCAGGATCCTAGGACCTGGTAAGTTTCAGCTACACTAAAATAAGATTTATGAGAATCTATAATACATAACCACTGCAATTCTTCAGGATAGGGATCTATAATTTTAGAACATGATATTGATTCAAAGCTGTAAGAACAGCAACATTATATTTCAAACAATTTTACTCCTTCAAATCAGACGACCCATTTCATGAACAGTTAACAAACCATGCAGCAATATTTCCATGGATTATGAGCCTTATCTCTTTGTTATTTTAGCCACAACCAACTGTCTAATCTGAAAGTACAAACATGAACATAAGTTCATTTCAACTAAGGTTTTTTCAATATGAGATATATCATACATTTACGTCATATAAACAAGCTAAACTATGCCATGAGTATGTTCTACCTCCAAGCTGACACAGAATCATTGCTACACTGAGAAAGTGACTGTGTGAAGTAAACTTACCACTGCAGTAAGAACGAAAATATAGCACTGGAACCCTAAATGTACTGCTGTAAACTATATGAAAATCACAGTAATGTAATTCATGATGACTGCTTTGGACCTAGAAAAACAACAATAACATGATCAACGTCAGCCAATAATAAATCAGACAATAGAACAAGAAAATCCCATGTTTACTCCCAAATTACACGTGAAATTTTACATTTCATGCAAACAAATTAACTGGAAAAACCAAATTAAAATATATTTACCAATGTGGCATCATCAATAACATCTTCGTTTCCAGGGCAACCGATCTCTTCTTCCCCGGTGTCAATTTGACTGATTTGATCAATATCTTCCTGCATCCAACAGAAAGAAAAAAAAAGAATGGAAAAGAACACCTTTCTGTGAAATAATTGAATATGATCCTTTAAATGACCCGAGAATGTACCTCATTTGGCCTGGAAATGCATATCTTTTCCAGTGACAAGTAGCCCTCCTCCTGCAAAAGAATAAATAAAAAAAGGTCAATTTCTTTAAAAACACTAAATTATTTTGTAACGAGAACTGGTAAAAAATGAGTGAGAAGAGTAGTTACCTCAGGCGAAGCAAGCCAAGGGTGTTTAGAACTAAGAACCCATACCCATGGAGGAAAACCAGAGTTAAGACTTTCCCATTTCTGAGAAAATGCGAAAGCACCAACTCTGAAATCCTTTGCAGAAAGGGTTCCATCCCAATGTAAAACATCCATCTATCATCAAAACAAAAATGTAAAACATCCACCAATTACTGTACAAAAATTACTGTACAAAACAGTTCCAACGTAAACAAGATAAAACTAAAATTAGATAACAGTAATTCGAATTTACTTTTTTTCCGGAACGTAAAAAGGAAACCAAAATCTATGTTTAACTATGGAGAACATTGAAGACTCACCTCCAGAAATTTGATGGAGAAGAAAAAGGTTCCTGGGTGGAACTGATTGGGCCAAATTTGCTTTCACAGGAATCAAACTTGATTTTTTAATCCTAACAGATTTTAGGGTAAACTATGCATTTAGTGCCTAAACTATTAGATTTAATCCGTTCTAGTACCTAAACTTTCATTATTTTCAAAATCGTATTTAACGTTTAGTTTTCATCTCATTTTAATATCTCGTTGTTAAAAATTTAACGCATTTAGTGTCTAAACTATTTATCTTGATCTATTTTAGTACCTTAAATTTTAAATGTTTCAAAATTTAATGTTAAAGTTTAAACTGTGTACTAAAATAAAACAAAAACTTAAGTTTTTAATAGATACTAAAATAAAATAAAAACTAAATTTTAAATTTGATTTTAAAAACTTAAAAGTTTAGGCAATAAAACGGATTAAAACTTATAGTTTAAGTACTAAGTGCGTCACTTATCCTTGATTTTATTATAGTCTAATATTTTTCCCGTGTTATTAATTTGTCAAAATAGGTCTACAATCCCTCTATTTTGGATAAGTTTTAGATTTAGTCCCTGTACTTAAAATTTGTGAAAAAAAACTTTCTTCGTTTAAAAATTATAGACCAATCTCAGGTATTCTTGATATGTTCTGTCGAAATTTATGGGATTATTATATACTACACGTTATGTGAAATTTAATTTACACAATTATATCTGATCTGGTTTAATATTATTTGTTCAGGTTATGATTTAAGATTTAGGTTTTATGATTTATTATTTAAAATTTATTCTCTAGATTTACGGTTTAGATTATTTGGTTTTCAACTTTTTCAATTACAAGGACTAAAATCTCAAACTCCATTCAGATTCAGTACTTGTGGCATAATTTGATTCTTTTTCGGGTAATTCGTTTATTGTCACATTATTTCTTAAATTTATCAGTCGCATGCTTTGTGTTACGTTAGTTCCTAAAACTTAAATAAAATGTGTATAATTCCATAAATGAAATAATTTATTGTGCATAAATTAAGGACCCATAATTTTATTTGTTGTTGGATGGAGCTTGCTGGGGCAGTAGGGGTGACCATGTCAACCATTACTGATACTGATCAATTAGCATTTTCCTACATGGTTCCGAGCGTAATCCATCATTGAACCGAGATTACTTATCTTCTCTCAAGTTCATGTTCATCCTCATCGGATCTTCCGATAGCCAGCCGGAAACTATAATCCGACAAGAATAATGAATAGAAGGCAGTGTTCCCGAAAACAGACTTAGTGAGTTGAAACAACTCGATTCTGAAATAGAAATACAGTATAATGAACGAAACAAAAGCTATGCATACAAAAACAGAGTGCATATATTAGAGGACTAAAATATCTTCTTGTACACCTGATTAAATTAAGACATTTTTTTTTCATCTTTTTTAGGTACTAAATCCGTATTCATAAACTGCAACGTGGAAGGTTAAGGCTAATAGTTAAGTGAGAGGCTCGCTGTCACCTTCTTCCATTTTTAGGAAAATTAGTGAAGATAAGGAACCTGATACTGGTAGCCGAAGTAGTTACCATGAGTGGGGGGGAAGTTGTAAGTGGCAGAACCAAGGAGAGTGGGGCTGTCGTGGTTGGCAGGTCCCTTCTTGTCTGCTTTAGCCTTCTCCAATTGGAGAACCCACTTCTGAAGTGGATCAACAGGGAATTGTTCCTCAATATTATGCTCCTCAATACATTTGATCACAGTCTTCAGAGTCACCAACTCCCGCTCATTAAACTCGGTCTGGAAATACAGAAAAAAGTATTTCAGCCACAAAAAAAGCAGCACGATTTTTAACAAAATATTCTGCATTCATACGACAAGAACAAATTGCCCTCAGCGCCACATGCAAATAATTATTAAACAATTTAACAACCATACGGTGTCAGATTTATGAAAGGTACTGCAAGTAAGAACTAACTAGCCAGATAATCCCAAAAGACCAAAGAAGATCCAAGTATGTAGGGGTGTTCAAAATTCGGTTTTAACCGAATTAACCGACCGAACCGAACTAATTCGGTTAATTCGGTCAGCCACCGAATTAGTTCGATCGGGGAACGGTTAAGGTTTTTTTAGATATTCGGTTAACGATTAATTCGGTTCGAAATCGGTTAATTAACCGAATTAACCGAAATAAAATTTTAAATATTAAATATATTATAAACATATGGCTCACCCAAACCATTTAAAACAATTAATAATTTAAGATCCAATAAACTTTTAAACCTAAATCAATATTAATTAATTAAAAAATTTATATTTTATAATTATATATTATTTAAATTAATTGTAAACTATTTTTCTGAATTAAAAAATATTATATATATTATATATAACATATGAGCTCAACCCAAATCATTTAAAACTCAATTAATAATTTAAGATCCAATAACTTTTAAACCTAAATCAATATTAATTAATTAAAAAATTTATATAAAATTTTATTTTATAATTATATTATTTAAATTAATTATAAACTGTTTTTTTGAATTATAAAATATTTAATTTTTATATAAATTAGAAAATTTTAAAAAATTTTGGTTAATTCGAAAATTTTAAAAATTTTCGGTTAATTCGAAAATTAACCGAAATTTATTCGGTTAATATTTTCGAAAAAAAGTTCGGTTCGGTTAACGGTTAAAGAAAAAAGTAGTTTGGTTAATTCGGTTAATTGTAGTCGGTCGGTTCGGACACCGAATTAACCGAATGAACAGCCCTACAAATATGTTAGAACGGCTGATGGAACAGAAAGCTGGTACAATATGCTTCAGACAAGGCGTTGTGGACAAAAACAAAAATAAGGCTTTGAGTCCCTTAACCAAAATATATTCAGCCAATATTAGGCAAACCAATCACCTTGAAGTACAGGAGTAAAGAACACACCTGAGCAGTGATAGGGGCATTTCCAGGCTTAACAGGTGAAGAAGCTTTTTTCGCCTCCTTCAAGTAGGCCTTAAGTAAAGGTACAGGTGAGAACTGTGCCGTAAGATCAAATTCAAAAGCCAGGTTAACTGCATCAATCTGCCTTCCACTATTCACCAGAACTTCAATTACACCTGAAATATAAATGATGGAAAGATAAACAAAAGGAAAGTATAAATTAACAACCAATAAGAAATAAACCCATATGTGTAATTCACACTAAGACCTAGTAACTACACAGTAGCTTAACACTGCTCGTCTTCAACGCAAACAAACTGGACACAGATCTAAAAATGCCAGTCAACGGTCATCTAAAATGAAGGATGGTCCACTCAACCTAAGTTAGTGAGAATAGGTCTGACCACCTGACATGGTTTTTCTTTTTAATATTTCTGAGAGCCTACTTGAAATTAATTATATTAGTTTTATTAAAATGGAAGAAAAGAAACATAATGGATGAATAAGAATGTAAACCCATGGTAAATAGAGAAATATTCAAGCTCATTTTTCAGAATAACTTTAGGTTTCTTCAAACAAACATGTATTCTATGCAAATGACTTGTAAATGTTACTATGTAAGTTTATACTACACAAACCTGGCATTTTTTCAGACAAACCAAGGGAACGGATGAGATCAGCTGTCTGACGACGACGAGAGACCATTGGGATAAGCCTTGAGAGTTCTTCCTCATTGAAGTCGGAAGCAATACCAAAAGTGGCAAGAAGTTGCAGGAAAGCATGAGCTTCCAATGAATTACCATTACTAGCACCCAGGTCAAGAGCATCCAACTTTGGTTTCCATCCCTCAGCAATTAACTTTGCTTGCTCCTTAATATCTTCAAAGATTAAAGCAGAGACAGAAACCATATTCATATTACTCAGCAAAAAGCTAAGACATTCCATCAACATAATACAGGTTCGCCTAAAACCCAGTAGATTTGAATCTTTCTTTCGGTCCACATTTGGTGCTTCTATAAGGTAAAATCCATTCAAAGATTTCAGGACCAAGTGAGCTGGGCTTGCTGCAGCCTTCAATGCCCGAGGAATTTCCTCCTTTAGGGCAGCAAGTTTGTTACGATTATCTGATATAAACTTGTGCAGTCCTTTAGAGTCCATCTCTTCACAAAGTTTTACCAACTGAGGATAAGATTTCACCCCGAAATTACCATTCTCAGAATGTTTTATGTTCTCCAAATTACTTTCGGAAGCTACAGAATCAGGTGGTTTCTCCTCAACTGACAGTTCACCACTGTCCTCATCACAGCTGACATCAGCAGGATCCTCGGATGATACTTTCCTATGCTTTGCTAGAGCACTAGTAATGGCAAAAGCTGCAGCATCTCTCTTTTCTTGTAGACTCACCAGTGAAGCTTGTTCTTGGGTTACAACAGCAGCTTCACGCTGCTTCAACATTTCTCGAGATTTCCTTGTTTTTGTCTCAAACTCTTTTTCTTGGTCTTCCAATTCATGGAAGCGTCTCTTCAAGGACTTCTCAAGCCTACGGAAATGTTCCTCAAGTTCTTTCCATTTCAGATTAAGTGTCACGGGACGATGACTTTCAAGTTCAGCAAATGCTTTCTGAAGCTTCTGTATCTTAGAAGTTGTCGAGTCTATGAGTGTTGCAACTGACTGTTTATCTTCCATGGCATAAAACCTGTAAGAGAAAAGCATCAACCAGGATCAGATAGCCACAGCAGAAATAGATAAAGAAAGTAAAACCAAACAGATTTTCTAGAGTGCAAAATCCTTCTGAAATCCCGTTGTAACAAAAGGGAAAATGAGCGGAAAACATGAGAACTAAATATCACGAAAGAAAATGTTCAACATAATAAGCAAACACATTTTTCTTCTCAAAGAATTCAAAACTGTCCTTGAAAAGAGTAATACGCTAATAACCAAATAAAGCAAAATTTACACTGAATCATGACTACTTAAAAAAGCACCAACTTTAGTTTGAATCAAAACAAATTTCATCCACAAACAATAAATGCTAGTACTTCAAAAGATTTCTGGTAAACCTATAACGATAACAAATACCTTCCATAAACAGATCAGAATGATCTAAGCTCCCTTTCCAAAGACAATGAGTTTCATCAAATTAAAGCTTTTCCCGCTTTCCTCTATTCCCCAATTCTAAAGCGGACTAATAGCAAGGACCACTTAGAACAAGCTAATTTCCATTAATACTAATAAACATATTAACATATTTCCAAATTTAACTGAAAAAGTAAGCACTCAACATCATTAAGTTCAAAGTGAACATTCCTTTATCCCTTAACTGCCATAAATAAGTGATCAAGGCAATAAAAAGAAAATGAAAATGAGAGTTCCAGCTTAACCCTAGAAACTCTAGAAGTAACTCAGCAATTAAATACAAGAAAGAAATTAAAAAAAAAGAAACAATTTTAAAGTAATGAAGTACCTGTTCTCACCAGTGGTTTTACAAGCCCCAAAATCACAGAAAGACAACAAAAATAACGCAAAGATCGTAAACACTAAACAAACACTCACCAAACGTTAAAAAACAGGACACCATCAGAACTGTGAAATTTTAACTGCAAACACGGGGGAAAGTACACGAAATTTTGTAGTTCAAAACGTAGTTCTCGACAATTAAAAAAGGACAAATTAAAAAAATTTAAAAAATAGAGGGATTTAATTTTCTTTTCAGGGGTTAAGAAAAACTAAAGTGCAGATCCGGAGAGGGAAATGAAAACGAAAGGAAAAGGAAGGAATATAGGGAGAGAGAAAATTACCTGATTGATTCCAACGGATATGGGGTAACAAAGTGACCTAATTCCATGAGGATTCGAATTAATCAATCCATTTTCCCCCTTTTTTTTCCCAAAGAGAGTCTGGGGTCTGGGAGAGTGGATATTTGTGGCTGCTGCTGCTACTCTTTTAATCACTAGAGAGAGAAGAAATGAATGATATTCCTTATTCATTATTTTTTTTTGGTTACACATTTATTTTAATTGATTATTTATATTATATATTTCTAATTTATTATTTATATTCTTCATCCTATTTAAATTGTCTTTTTCTTTTATTGATTCTTTTAATTAATCTTTTAATTTTAACTTTTTATTATTTAAAATTTATTACTGATAAGAATATGAAAAAATATATTTCAGAAATATTTAATCAAATAGAAATATATACTTAGTAAAATTTAATTTTTCAAAATATTTAAAATAATCATAGTTAAAATTTAAAAATTTTAACTTTTAAAAGATCATAAACAAATATTATTTATTTATATTTAAATACAAAAATATTGAAAATAAAATTTAACCAATTTAATTAATTAATTAATTAATGGTTTGCTCACCCTGCAATGATTCATCTAAATTAAGAAAGATTACGGTCAATAATATTGGCTTTGGCAGCTTAAAAATGTGGTAGAACAAATAAAAAAATTATTAAGTTAATGTGATTACAAAGTATATTTTTCTAAATACTCTAATTATTTGATAATGAATGCTCAATCACTCTGCTGTAACCGTTAGTACTCGAAACTGTAACCTCGAGATACAACAACAATTCCTTTAATCATTGAGATAAATTAGTTTTTGTAAAAAAAATCGTTTTTAAGAAAAAAATTAGTAGAGAATATTTAAAACTCCCATTCGATATAAAATAATTATAATATATATTTATTACAGTTTATTATAAAAATACATTATGTATTTTAATTTTAATTTTAAAATAAAACTTTAATACTATTATATAGTAGGATATAAGTTAGTATTAATTACACGATATAAAACCATCTTTTTCATTTGTCAAATGTTTTAATTCAAATGTTTCGATATAAAACTTTAATACATTTTACTGTATTTTTCTGAACTTTGTATTTGGTTTCTAATATTCAGTGGAGTTCTGCAACCTCTGTCTCCTTTCTATTGCTTTGATTCACGCTTTCTTTTCAGTTTACTATAGCTAGCATCTCCTTCATCTACTGTCATGGTATCAGTCGCCTAAATTCCTGCGGCCTTTTGTCTTCCGTCTTGCATGTGTTTTCTTGCTTCATCGCCGAGTTCTTTACGGTTGCGCGTTGTTTGGATCCTTCAATCGTCGTATTCTCTTCGGTTCTGGTTGCGATTCTGGTGAGATTGTTCTACTACTGCTCTAATTTGATCTCGCATCTTGTTTCGTCTAATTTTGTTTGGCACTTGTTAATTTGTTCTGTTGCAATTGTGTTGTTGTGACCTAACCTGCTCTAATATTGTCATCTGCTACAAATTGGTAATATTGGTTGAATTCTTTAGGTCTATTGGCAATCTGTTTTTTATTTGTGCTCGTCCTCAAAATGGATTTGTTGCATCTTCTCTATTCTGGTTGCTATCAGTTTTGGTAATATTGGTTGAATTCTTTAGGTCTATTGGCAATCTGTTTTTTATTTGTGCTCGTCCTCAAAATGGATTTGTTGCATCTTCTCTATTCTGGTTGCTATTCAGTTTTTTGCTAAATTTGGTGTTTTTTCTGTGTTATTCGATGGATCTTCGACACTGGTGAGAACGTTCTTATTTCTTGTTTGGTTAGCTTTCTGCATTCAGCTATTTGTTGCTTTCCTGTGCTTTGTTTGTTGTCTGTCTTCTGCTCTGAATGGCAAATATTGTTGGTGAAACTGTTCTAAATGGTGAAACTGTTCTAAATGCCTCTGGTAGTTCTGTCTCTTCTGCTCCTAATAGGTTGTTCTCTACTAAGAAGATCAATGTTACTTTTAGATGATCAAAATTATTTGATATGGCATCAACAGGTTTTTCTCACAATTAAAACACATAGACTTCAGAAATTTATAGACTCAAATGTTTCCTGGCCTACACAGTATATTACTTCAGATGATATAGTTAGTTTGAACCCTGAATATGAACTGTATGAGGAGCAAGATGGAGCTCTTGCCTCTTGGTTACTCTATACTGTCAGTGAGGAAGTTTTGCCTCATCTCATAGGTCTTAATACTGCAGCTGAAATCTGGAGTACACTGCATAGGTTATACAGTGGTAAGACTACTTCTAGGCTAATGTCTTATAGGAGAATGCTTCATTCTCAGAGGAAGGGGGAGCTGAGTATGAGAGATTACTTGATGAAAATCAAATCTGTTTGTGATAATATAGCTAGTTGTGGTGAGATAATTTCAGAACATGAACATATCACTGCCATTTTAAATGGGCTGCCACCTGAATTTGAGTATGTTAGTACTGTTATAACTGCTACTCCTACCCCTCCTGACCTAAGGTCTGTTAGTACTATTTTACTAGATGCCGACACTAGACAGACACATTCCTTCAACCATGTCACTGCCTGTGCTCATGTTGCTACTCAAGCTGCAAATGATCAAGTGATTCCTACTAATTTGTCACAGTCTGAATATCAAAATAAGAGTGAATTTTTTGAGAATGTTGGTCAAAACTTCAATAATAATAGCAACAGTAATAGGGGTAGAGGCCGAGGACGGTTTTCATCCTCGAGGCCACAATGTCAGTTATGTGGCAGAATGGGACACCTTGTTGAAAGGTGTTATTATAGGTTTGACATGAGTTACAAAAATGAATCGTCTCGCCCCCCACAGAATAGCAATAACAGTGGCTATTCTCGCCCCCCACAGAATAGCAATAACAAGTGGCTATTCCACTACTCAGGCCAATGTCAGTTCTTATAGTTCGAACAATGGCACCTTTATCCCTTATAACTCCATGTACTATGATGCCATCTTTTCCTTCTGCAAATACATCTCAGTCTACAACTCCTATTCAGTCTCATGCTTATATAGCTACACCTGAAACTGTGGATGATAATGCCTGGTATCCTGATGCTGGAGCAACACATCATATAACTAAAGACCTTACCAATTTACAGATCAAAGATACTCACCCTGGAACAGGTAGTGCAGTTGTTGGTAATGGTAATTCTCTACCAATACAAAGCACTAGTCACTCTTTCTTTTGTGTTAATTCCAGTAGGTTTCATTTAAATAAATTATTGTATGTTCCTAATATCACTAAAAATTTGTTATCTGTTTCCAAATTCACTCAGGACAATCAGGTTCTGCTTGAATTTTATCCTAATTTTTGCCAAGTTCGAGACCTACATACTCGGAAAATTCTGTTAAAAGGAAGTGAAGATGGAAGACTGTACAAATTCAATGTTGCAATGAATAAGTCTGTTAAAAATGACACTTGTCTGCCTACTGGTGATGGGCTTCATGTCAATGATTCTGCTCATAATTTTTCTGTTGATTCTGCGCGTGTCAATGATTCTGCTCATAATTTTTCTGCTGCTCATGTTAATGATTATGCTCATAATGTTTTGTCTTCAATAAGATGTCATATTGTAAATACTAGAGTGTCTATGGATATATGGCACAAAAGGCTTGGCCACCCCTCTAAAGAGGTTTTACTTTTTGCTCTAAAACTTTACAATGTAATTGCCTTTGATGATAATAAAGAACAAGTGTTGTGCAAAGCATGTCAACTTGCTAAATCACACAAATTGCCCTTCTATGACACACACTATTTATAAATAGCCACTTGAACTTATAGTATTTGATGTGTGGGGCCTACCCCTGTTTACTCTAATGGGTTCAGATTTATGTGCCTTTACTGATGCGTAATTGCCTTTGATGATAATAAAGAACAAGTGTTGTGCAAAGCATGTCAACTTGCTAAATCACACAAATTGCCCTTCTATGACACACACTATTTATAAATAGCCACTTGAACTTATAGTATTTGATGTGTGGGGCCCTACCCCTGTTTACTCTAATGGGTTCAGATTTTATGTTGCCTTTACTGATGGACACAGTAGGTACACTTGGATTTATTTTTTGAAACAAAAATCTGAGGTTAAATATGCCTTTCTTCAGTTTCATAAACAGGTGAAGAGGCAATTTGGTGTCAAGCTAAAGGTGTTTCAGTCTGATGGAGGGGGTGAGTTTGGAGCTCTTCAAACTTACATGAAGGAGCAAGGTATAATCCACAGACTGCCATGTCCCCATACTTCAAAACAGAATGGTTTGGTGGAAAGGAGGCATTGACAGATAGTTGAGGTAGGTCTTTCTATGCTAGCTCAGGCTTGTATGCCTTTAAGTTTTTGGAATGATGCTTTTTCCAGTGTTGTTTTTCTTATTAATCGATTACCTACATATGTGTTGTCTGTTATATCACCATATGAAAAGATTTTTCATAAAGCACCTGACTATAGTTTTTTGAGTCTTTGGATGCACATGTTACCCCTTTTTAAGACCCTATAATCAACACAAGTTTCAGTTTCGTTCATCTGCATGTGTTTTCTTGGGTTATTCACCTGTGCATAAGGGATATAACTGCTTAGAACCCAGTGGTCGTGTTTATGTGTCAAGACATGTTAGATTTGAAGAAAATGAGTTTCCTTATCAACAACATCAAAGTTATCCTGATACTTCTAGTCTGTCAGTATTAAACAGTCAAAAACATTCAAGTGTCAACAATATTTCTCGAAACAACCTATTTTATCCTTCTTTTCTTTCCATCCCTACTAGCACACACAATCACAAAATCAGTCTTACCATCCACTACACCATCAATCGTTCCATTCAAATTTACCATCTTCTACACCATCAACATCATCTTCTTCTCCACATGTATCATCTTCGTCACAACAATTAGTCTCATCCCCATCTCGTCCATGCACATCAAAATCAATTGAAACTACTACTTCATTACCACCATTATCTCCACCTCCATCATCATCATCTCTACCACCACCACCACCATCTCCACCTTTGCTAATTCAGAATGTTCATCCCATGGTTATCGTGGCAAAGCTGGCATTTTTAAACCTAAAGTGTTGCTTGCTGAGACATGTCCTCAAGAGCCAGCAAATGTCTATGAAGCATTGCAACATCCTGCTTGGTGTGAGGATGTTCAAAGTGAATATACTGCTCTGATGAAGAATGGTACATGGGAGCTGAAGCCTTTGCCACCAACACGCAAAGCAGTGGGTTGCAAGTGGCTTTTTAGAGTAAAGAAGAAGCCTGATGGGTCAGTTGACAGGTTGAAGGCTCGTCTGGTTGCCAAGGGCTATTCACAAATGGCTGGGAGAGATTTCTCTGAGACATTCAGTCCAGATTGTTCGAGCAAGTACGATTAGGACTGTTCTGGCTGTTGCTGTCATGAAAAATTGGCCACTTGGGCAGATTAACATCAACAATGCATTCCTCAATGGACGATTAACTGAGGAAATTTACATGAGACAGCCTCCGGGATTTGAGCAGGAAAGTGAAGATGGAAAGGAGTTAGTGTGCTGTTTAAGAAATGCACTTTATGGGCTCAGCAAACTCCTAGGGCTTGGTTTGAGACCTTGAGGAAATTCTTGGTTGAAAGCCTTGGTTTCACTGTTTTAAAAGGCCCTCTTCTTTATTTATTAGAAATTTAGCTTGTTCTCAAGTATTATTAATGATATATGTTGATGATATAGTCATCACTTGAAGTCAGGTGATAGAAGTGGATGTCGTAGTGCAAGCAATTAATAAGGAGTTCTCACTCAAAGATTTGGGTCAGCTAGAGCTTTTTCTTGGAATGCAAGTTGAACATACTTCAGAAGGGTTGATTTTAAATCAGAAGAAGTATATTTCTGATTTGTTGAAAAGGTTAAACCTAGATGAGTCAACACCTACACCTACTCCTATGGTTCTTACTCCTAAGCTTAAGGCAAATGATGGACAGTTGTTTGAGATATTCATCTCTATCGTAGCATTGTGGGAGGCTTGCAATATGTGTGTTTAACAAGGCCTGACATAGCCTATGCTGTTAACAAGGTTAGTCAGTACATGAATAGCCCATGTGATACACATTGGAGAGCAGTAAATCACATTTTGAGGTATCTCAGTGGCACACTTGAGCATGGTCTGTTTTTCACTCAAGCTGGAAACTTTAGTCTAGTCTGCTACACTGATGCAGACTGGGCAGCCTCGGTGGAAGATAGACGATCCACAACAGGTTACTGTATATATCTTGGGGGAAATCCAATTGCATGGTGCTCCAAGAAGCAAAGTGTTGTCTCCAGGTTTACATCAGAAGCAGAATATAGAAGTCTTACTAATTCTGTCTCTGAATTAATTTGGATTGAACAACTACTTGATGAAATTGGGGTTAGTGTAGCTGGAAAGTCAGTTGTGTGGTGTGATAACACCTCTATAGTTTCTATGGCAGCAAATCCAACGAACCATGCTCGTATAAAGCATGTAGAAATCGATGTTCATTTTGTGAGGGAGAAAGTTTTGGCTGATCAACTCAGTGTCAATTTTATTCCTTCTGCAGAACAAGTGGCTGATATACTCACCAAGCCATTACCACCTGCAACATTCAGCGATATGCGCTATCGGCTTGGCGTAAAATCTTGGGCAGAAATCAGTGGTATTAGTCATGAAAGGCAGGTCTGAAGATGCCAGGAAAAATGTTGAAATGACATTTCAGTTCATTAGAAAACCCGGAGAATATTAGATTATAATAATGCAGCTGTCTACAGCTGATTAGCTGTAATCGTTTCTGCTAAGTTGTTGTAACAAAATTATGTTAGTTGGGCTAGTCGGTTAAGCCTAGTGTTATATATAGTGGGCCTGTCCACTATTCATGATTTAATAATGAGAAGCATTATACTGTATTTTTCTGAACTTTGTATTTGTTTTCTAATATTCAGTGGAGTTCTGCAGCCTATGTCTCCTTTCTATTGCTTTGATTCACGCTTTCTTTTCAGTTTACCATAGCTAGCATCTCCTTCATCTACTGTCAGATTTATCGTCTTGGAGTTATCCCAAGAAACCTCTCAAACTGGAGCTAACGCATATTCAGCAAATTGGAACTAAATAGCTAATATTTGTTGTTTAATTATGGTTTAATATGTGATGTGGTTATTAGCCAGTGTTATTTCAGGTTTCTTTGTTTGAAAAGGTAATTTTCAGAATCAGATTTAAGGGGTTGTCTTAGGAAAGGCGGACTAATATACGGTTAATATATAGCGTTACTAGATACATTAAAAGATATTTAAAAAAATCGGATAGCTTAACATTGTCTGCATTAGTATAATCAATGGCAAAAATTTTGTTGTGGAAGTTCAATGATCCCAACAGGAGTTCATGGAGATGTAAATAAATGTTCATTCAACAACATGTTTCAATCGTGCTTTCAATAGATGTGATATTGGTAGTGATATTTGAAGAGTGGGTACAACATTAAAATCGCATGACATATTCAAGTTTCTACAATAATTACAAAATTCAATAACTTTCAAGTAAAAGGTAAATTTATAAAGTAGGTGGTAAAAATAGACTTTTTAATGAAAAAATTAATAAACACAAGAATTTGTTTCTAACATTTTGTCCAGTATGGTTCCCAAATGTAAAGTTTCCAAAAAAATGTCGATACATTTATTGTAAGTATTGATCATAAAAACATCGAAGCCAATTATTATAAAGTAATAGGTAAAATATACCGATTTAATGAGAGAATAGGTAAACATATGTGTCGATACATTTATAAAAATATCGATCCCAAAAACATCGAACCCCATAATTATAATGTAATATGTAATTTTTGAATGTAACCGGTATAAATATACTGGTTTTATGAGATAATAGGTCTACATAATGTATCAACACTTGTGTAATTTGTGTCGATACTTTTTGTCTAGAATTAATGCCCAAAAGGGGTGCACGCATAAATGTCGATACATTTATAAAAAATCTCGATACTTATAATGTAATAGGTAATTTTGTAATGTAACCGATATAAATATACCTGTTTTATGTGAGAATATGTCAACATACTGTATCAACACTTTTTAAATATGCGTCGATATTTTTTTTCAGAATAAATGCCTAACGAGGTGCACGCATAAAGTGTCGATACATTTAAAATTGTGTCGATCTCAAAAACATCGAAATCGATAATTATAATGTAATAGGTAAATTTACAATTTACCGGTATAAATAAACCGATTTAATCAGAAAATAGGTCAATATAAACGCTACCTATTATATTATATAAGCGTTACCTAATATGTTATTGTACTTGATAATATTTCGGTTAAATGATATAACATAACCGGTCTAAATTTTAACCGATCACTTATTTAACCAAACACGTCGTTTTTAATCGTTTTTTAAACACCGCACAGCAAAACTTCCCAGATTTAAGTGGTCTTATTCAGCAAGAAAGAGAAGAAAAAAAAAACCTACATATTCAAATGCTCTTATTCTGCAACCGGTCTTAAAACCTAACTTATTCTAAGATAAAAAGGTTACGTACTACACTCATAGCAATTTAGCTATAAATTCATCAATGTTCTTATCTGAACTTCCACCTTCATCAACAGCCTTCTTAGCCAAATTCTTCCATTTGATTGAGTTTTTCTTGATCTCTTTGCCTTTCTCTCCGACTTCAATCACTAATTCCCTTATGCACTGTTTTATTACCTCTCTTCTCACAATTCCTTCCTCGTCCAGACGAGCTCTTACTCCGATTCGCCATACATCTTCGACGTGCTTCGCGTTAGTAGGCTGATCGGTCCATACCGGCATTGCCAGCATCGGAACACCGAGACTCAGTGCTTCGAGAACCGAATTGAAACCGCAATGGGTGAGAAAGCAACCCACCGAGTCATGAGACAGGACCTCCAATTGAGGACACCATGGCACCACCAAACCCTTGTCCCGGGTCTCTTCAATGAAATTATTTGGTAGTCTGGCCTTCTCTGTTTCCCTGACGACCCACAAGAAGTAGGCGTCGCTCTCTTTCAAAGCCGAAGCTAGCTCCGCCGTCTGCTCGATTCCGGGTGATGCAAAGCTTCCAAAGGATACATACACCACCGAGTCCTTTGGTTTTCCACTTAGCCAATTCATGCAAGCACTGAAATTTGGCTTGAACAGATTCATACCGTAGTCTTTATCATTTTGGATTCTTTTGTCCATGTACATAGATGGTATAGTTGGTCCTACTGTCTTCACGTTCCAGAATTTCGACATCCAATCCACCGCCTAATGAAAACAAATCCATCGGAACCAAAATGAACCGACTTACAACGTTATTGGTAATTGAAAAAGAAAGTACCAGTTGCTTACCTCTTTCTCCAATTCGTAAAAGATGTTGAAAAACACCCAATCGGCTCCATCGACGTTAGAAAACTGATGCACGACCACATCAAACCAGGCCGGAAACGATCCGTAAATACAGACAAAAGAAGGTAGCTCTGAGACTTGAAGCGTAGGCAGTCCCGGAAGAGAAACAGGAGTCGCCGGGAGTGGCAGCTGAAGGTTTCCCTTGCGAACATGGTAGTAGACGCTGTTGACGGCACAAGATTGGGTGAAAAACACCGCCGAGGGTATCCCGAACTGCTTCGCGACATCGAGTGCCCAAGGCATGAACCCATCATAGACGACGGCGTCAACAGGGTGACCGGTTTCACCAAGCTTCTTGACTAAAGCTGCAAAGCTCTTGGGACCAACAGACCAGAAAGTTGGGAGGTAGATATCGGCGCTTCCGGCCTGATCGTAGCCGCCTTCATCGAAGCCGTCGGAAATGGTGTGGAGATCAATAGAGGTGGAAGTAAGGTCGGAGGAGTTGGAGAGGAAGACGGTGGTAACAAGGGAGGGTTTGACACCTTTGGAGAGCAAGCGTTTAGCGAATTGGAGAATGGGGTTGATGTGACCTTGAGCAGGGTATGGGAAGACTAGAACATGAGGTGCTTTAGGTTCCCCCATTAAGATTTCTGCATCTCAATACGTGGTTGCAGAATGATGAGTTGCCACTATTGGCCCCCTTGCTTTGCCCCCCGACTTTCTTAATGATAATGTTTTGGACACGATTCCGTTTCTTACAGGCTTGGGTCATTTGCATTTGCATTTGCATTTGGCCTCGGATAATGTATATAAATAATCATTTTTCTTTTAATTCTTTTATTATAAAATATTATAAATTAATCATTTGAATAAAAAATTCATTTAATTTATTGAAAAGTTTAATTATACATGATTTGTTAATAAAATTAATATAATAACAACTTTAAATGTCAGATTTTATATTTTATTATTATTTAATATTAATTTTAAAAATAGTATTTTAATATTATATGAATTGAAATTTAATAGTTAATATTGATTGAAAATTTGTTTGATTTCATTTTTGAAAAAGCTCGGAATCTTCTAAATTCATCAAGCCACGTGCATGACGCAGTCAAACACAAATGAATTGGTAAGGAAATAATTTTGTGGGTCTCTTTTGTCCATTCTTCTGGCGTACGGTGTTGATTAGATATATTGTGTTATTAAATAAAATAACCGCATTTATTATTGCGTAAATTACTCTAATGGTCACTAATGTTTGGGTAAGTTTTCGTTTTCAGTAATAATGTTTCAAAAGTCACAAAAAGGTCACTAACGTTATCGTTTGTTACAAATTGATCACTCGTCGTTAACGCGTGATGAAAAACACACGTGGACTGTTAACAGGCTTAAATGGATGGTATAATTACACAAATAATTTTGTTATTTATATATTATTTCAATTTGATCTTTGTTTTAATAAATTAAAATATATTTATTTTTAATTCTTATAAATAATGATATATTTTTATACAAAATAATTAAATGTGATTTTTAATTCAAGTTGAAGCAACAAAATTTCTAATCCTTTTCCCATTATCTTTATTTCTGTTTGCTGTTCTTTTCCTTCATCAGCTTCACCCTTTTTAATGGCTTCTGCAGTTAAACCCATCTTCATCTGCCTTCTATTCATTTCATTCCATTTCTCAGCATTCTCATCGAAACCCAAGGACCCAACGCCATCGACATGGCCTCTTCAATTCCACTCCGTTCTCTTCATGAACAACATCGACACTCTCTAGAAAGTTGATCTCTGGTACGACTGGCCTAATGGCCGCAATTTCAACATTATCCAGAACCAGCTTGGAAAGCTCACTTCCGACCTGGAATGGGACAACGACACTTCCTTTATCTACACCAACAAATAATGCAGAGTTTTGCACTTCGATGTCGGTGTTCTCCGCCCGAATTGGCTCGACGGAGCTAATTACTTAGGCCAACAACACAAAGATGGGTTCCTTTGCAATGTGTGGGAGAAAGTCGACTTCATTTGGTACTATGAAGATGTCATCACTAAGCGACCTGTTTACTGGGCATTTTACACTGGTATTAGTTTCACGACTTCCCTTGATTCTATTTAAATTGGTTTTTAAAGCGTATTTTTAAAGAATTTAAAGTTCATTCATTTGATTGTTTGTGAGAAACATTGGAAACTTTTATGGAGAGTGCAGGGTACAGTGCTCATGTAATGACATTTGAAGTGGGAGCTGTTCTTGAGGATTCTGAATGGCAGGTTCCTGTTTACTGTTTCAAGGAAGATGAAGAGAAGAGGAAACAAGTTGTGATTGGATCTTTGGGAATGATTGGTCGTCTCCTTGTGAAGCTGATGAGAGGGGTTTCCAGTGCCTCCATGGCGCTATGATTATTGTTTTTTCATACTTGGAATAAATTTTCTGGGATTTCTACGTTTTCTTTGCCCTCGATTGATCCTTGGTTGTTTCCTCAGTTTGATTAACAAATGTTTTCTTTTTCTTGTTGAAATTTATGAGTGTAAATTAACCTAAACTTCAATGAAATTTTCGTTAATTAAGTTAAATAAAAGAGAATAAACAAAATTTAAAAGAATTAAAATAAATATATTTTAATTTATTACAACTAGGATCAAATTGAAAGAATATATAAATAAAATGGAATATATGTGTAATTATACCATCCAGTTAAGCTTGTTAATGGTTGTTAACAGTCCACGTGTTTTTTCCGTCACGCCTGTTAACGGCGAGTGACAAATTTGTAACAAACGATAACGTTAGTGATCGATTTGTGACTTTTGAAACATCAGTAGTGAAAACGAAAAACTTACCCAAACATTAGTGACCATTGGGGTAGTTTACCCTTTATTATTTTATTAGAAAAACAACCTCTAAACAGTATTAATTAAAAAAATATCTTTTAAAATGCACACGTAAACTACTTCACATCTTAAAAAACACTTGTCAAGGTCTCGCGTTATGTAAGGCGCGAGACTCCTCCAACGTGGAAACACTTTTTAAAGAACAAAATTTAATATTTCAAAAAAAAAATCGCGTTATATGAAATACGAGATCCCCGAGATTTTAAAACGTCTCAGTATCCAAGAATTTGAAGCATCGTCGAGTCGCGTTTGATGAAGGAACCTAGTTGTTTGCTTAACACGAGGTCCAGTGGCGTTATTAATGAAATAAATAAATTCTTTTATGAATTTAAATTAATCAATAATTTTTTTGTAAAGTATGTAATAAAATAAGGCTTAATACCAAAATAAGTGCCCAAACTATACATCAACTCTCGAATGTGCCAAAACTATTTTTTGACCTATCCAAGTGCTTAACGTTACAAACGTTACCCATATAGGTGCTCAGGCCATCAACGATTTAATTTATCCCGTTAAGTGACACGTGTCACAATCTGGTTATTTTGAAATTTATTTTTTAAAATATTATTTTATTTAAAAAAACCTTAATTTCTCTTAAATTATAAAAAAGCCCCAAAATACCTAAAATCCCCAAATTATATCATTAACCCACTGTCGCCCCCTTTCTGGCCATGACCACCACCGCTGACATAGTCCATGTCATCCTTCTAGCCATACGTCGTCGTAGTTGTCATCGATTGGCCGCCGAGATTGCGTGTAAATATATTGTGATGTGGAACACAATTCTATGCAAATATACACAATCGATGCAAGTAATACAGTAGTGAGTGAGTATCATCTCCACAGGGATTGGAGAAAAATCTTTAAGCAAGCTATAGCCAAAGGGTGTCACTAACTAAGTCTAAGTATAAATGTACAATGGTATAAACAAATTAATAGAATGATGTGGCAAATGGTATGTATAAGGTGTATGGAAATGTTGTGAATGAAGTATGGAATGAAGAATGGTGTGGCGAAAGTTTAATGAAATTGTAAAAGTGTGTTGAGGCAAAAGTTTAAGTAAATTGAAAAAGTATGCTAAAGCAAAAGTAAATTGAACTCTGGAAAATGAGTTAAGACTGACAACATTACACGATCAAGCTTCTTTAGGGGTAATTGGTTGATTTTCTATGGCAATTTAATATTCTACGTCTAAAATGGTCTTTGCTCCTATGAGTATGATGTCCGTCAAGATTTGCTAAAACTGTTCCTAAACTATCTCTAGCAAGGAACCTGACAAACTAATGCTACGACAATACCTCTCAGCGTGAACTGCAACACTAGCTTATCGAGTAAGTTCTAACCCTTTTAGTCAATTAAAACCCTCTCCTTATCTATAAGGTGGGTTAAAACCTCACTATCCCAATTTAGTTCCCTTGCTCATGTAGATCTAACCTAACTCTCTCGATACTAGATATATATACTTAGAAAATGACAATCTCTCAAAAGCTCTTACAAGACTAACCATCTACGTTACAACAAATGGCAATCTCTCAAAAGCTCTTACAATGCTAAGATTAAGAAATGAAAACAATGTGCAAAACAACATTTAAACTTAAAAACAACAAACCATTTATTCACATAAAATATAAACAACCAAAACAAGTTTCAACATCAAATAATTTAGTCCATGGCGTGGCTAAGTTCATCCAAGATCATTCGAGTTAAGTCCAAGCCAAATAAGATAAGAAAATAAAAGCACAAGGAGAAGAACACTCCCAATGAGCTGTTACCGAGACACTTAGCTCCACCGCCATACACCGCCTTATCAAGCTAGCCTCTCTCGAGGGCCTAGTTGCTACGTCCTTGAAGCTCGGCTATAGAGGACACCACGAAAAAAGGATAAAAAAAGGAAAATGGAGGTTGGTTGCAGACGCCTTTATCTCTTAGGTTATATTTCTAAAGTTTGTAGGGTAACTTGGTATTTATATAGGGAATTTTTTTTAGGGTTTTGGACCCTAAATTCCCTTTGTACCCTAGGTGTCCTCATCCTCATGTGAATGGGCAGTTAGGATGGCATATGGTCCCAAAATATGCAGCAAGGGCAATGAGTCATGTGTGGTTGGATAGCTTGGCAAAGATATTTTTCTATTTTGTCTTTTCTGCTCTAGATTTTACTGTCCACTTTTACTGCAACATTTCTTTTAGCTTTCTTTCTCCAGAATGTTACAATGGAAACATCTCAAGCATGCTATAACAACAACATCTTCTCCTTAAGCTTTCCTCACCTGCACAACTCCACAAGAGCAAGACATTTCCATCAGTAGCATCAATTTCCAACAAATAAATGTTGCAACAAGACAGTACCACCAAATGCAACTACATGACCTAAATGTAATCTAAATGCTATGATATGAGCTTTTAAACAAACGATAACCTAAGTAAAAAGGCACAAAAATACAGCCTGTTTACGGGTTATCACATTGGATCACGATTTTTATCTTAGGGTTTGTGGGGTATAAAACATCAATTCATCATTGATCGACCGTCAATCGGTCACGATTTCATAGGGGTTTTGGTTACCAAGAGAGATGAGATCAGGTGGATCTTCATCGATGGCAAAGGGCGATGGTCACCATGGGTTTAAGGGTTAAAATGAAGGTTTTCAAAGTTTTAGGGTTATTTTAAAATGTTTATGTTATTATTTATATATATATATATATATATATATATATAATTTTAAATAAATTTTTAAAATTACCAAATTGTGACACGTGCCACTTAACAGGGAAACTAACGTCATTAATGGCATGGACACCTAAATGGGCAACGTTTGTAACGTTAGGCACATGGATGGTTCAAAAAATAGTTTAGGCACTTATTCGAGAA